GAGACAAAGGAACAAGCCACTAGAGAAACTTCTCACTACTACCGAATTCTCAGGGCAAATGGAGACAAGATCCTATCTCCAGGAATCCTCTGACTGAAAGCCTCTGAGTCCTCAGCTGAAAGGACTCTAGTTCCTGTCTCCTCATGCCTTATACACCTTCCTCTGCCTAGACATATCACTACCCTCCTAGTGCTAGGATTAAAGGTGTATGACTCCCAAATACTGAGATTAAAGATGTGTGCCACTACTGCCTGGCTCTGTTTCTCTCCTAGTCTGAATTAATCTCATGTAGTCCAGGGTGGCTTTGAACTCACAGAGATCCAGATGGATCTCTGTCTCCCAAGTACTAGGATTAAAGGTGTGTGCCACCACTGCCCGGCCTCTATGTTTAATCTAGTGGCTTGCTCTGTCCTCTGATCCTCAGGCAAGCTTTATTTGATATACAATATACCACCACAATTAGCATTTAAAAAATTTAAAGTTAATAAAGCACTATATAGGGTCCAGATGCCCTGTGTATTTCCCATCCTTATAAGGCTTATTCTTATTATATTACTTTATTCTTTCTTTAAAGATTTTATTTTATTATTTTTAAACTATTTTTTCCATGACTCTCTATACCCATTTTCTCTTCTTTTTAGCATCTAAGCACATTTTCAATGTATCTGCAGCCTTTTCTGACTGTGTGAGCCAATCCTTAAAGGACCAGGCTACATGCTGCATGGCTCCACTTAGCACGTGGCACTGGCAGCTGGCTCTGCTCCCCTTGGGTCTGTCCAGCAAGCTACCCCACTGGTTCTGGGCTACAGCTGCTGTGAGCCTCATGCCCACAGGCATTAGCCAGGAGTCACTTTTACCCACCCAGCTCTGGGAAGTTGGTGGGCCTGTGCTAGTCTAGTCTCAAGTCTCTTGCCAGGTAGCACACCAGCTACTCTATGCTTGAATATACATGCCCACTATTGGATACCAATTGTAGCTGGACTTTCTTTGGACCATCAGTTCCAAAATAATGATGTGAAAACTTCTTATTAATTATGAATGCTTGACCTTAACTTAGGCTTATTCCTAACTAGCTCTTATAACTTAAATTAACTCATTTATATTAATCCACATTCTGCCATATGGCTTGTTACTTCTCCTCCATTCTGTTATGTCTGATTCTCTCCAAGTCTTGCTGGTGAATTCCTTGTGCCTCGGATTCCTCCCAGAGTTTCTCTGTCTTCCTGGAAGTCCTGCCTTTCCTCTCTTGTCTAGCTACTTGCCATTCAGCTCTTTATTAAATCAATCAGAAGGTGTCTTGGCAGAGATATATCTTCACAGTGTACAAAAAGATAATCCCACAACAATCACAGATAACTAGGTTCTGTGGAATGAAGAGACTGGATCAGAGTAGCCCAGAATAGGACAGTCTAAGCCTTATAACTTGAACTTGAGTCTGAGCCTTGTAACTAATGACATCTTCAGTGCAGAGTGGGATGTGCTAGCTACTGTCCTCATGACTGAGGCAAAATGCCTGACAGTGCAGCCTACGGAAGGCAGGGTTTATTCTGGTTCACAGTTTTATTTTAGCCCATCATGGCAGGGAAGGCGTGGCGGCTGGTCACATTTCATCCAGTCAGGAAGCACAGAGAAGTGTGACGGCTGATCTTGGTTGTCAACTTGACCACATCTGGAATCAACTAAAACCCAAGCAGCTGGGCACACCTGTGGGGCATTTTCTTGACTGGATCATTTGAGGTCAGAAGACCCACCCTGAGTCTGGGCCGTACCTTCTGGCAGTCTCTATAAAAGGACATGGAAGAAGGAAGGTTTTGCTTTTTGCCTGCTTGCCCTCACCCTCTCTGGCAAGTCTATTTATCCTGCTGCTGAGGCTTTTCCTCACTGGCAGTAGAACATACTTCTTCAGGATCCAACACAGACCAAAGACCAGTTGAGACATTCAGCCTCAAGGACTGAACAACTACTGATGCTTGGCCTTTCCATTAGATGACAGCCATTGTTGGACTAGCCTGACCAGTGTCAGCCACTGTAAATCCACTTTTAAATATATAATCACTCTGTCAGTTCTGCTCCTCTAGAGAACCCTGACCAGTGCAGGCATGGAGGCTCAAGCTCCTCTGGCTTTCTCCTTTTTATCCAATCTGAGAGTCCTCATGGACATGCCCAGAGGTTTGTTTCCATGGAGATCCTAAAAACCACCAAGTTGACAATCAAAAATAAGCATCACATTAGCCAAAGTTCCATGTCCTAATTCTGGTTCCCATCTAGATCTTCAAGCTATGTCTCTAGCTATTGTTAATTCACTGAGGCACAGTCACATTTGGTCACCTGGTTAGACACCGAGGTTTGGGTGGGGCAGACTGTTGAGGCATTTTAGTTACTGTAGATATAGCCCAAGGCTAGCAGCCAGTAGTGCAGAAGCAACACATAGTCTTAGAAAGAGATGTTTAAAAAGTCTTATTTGTGTATATAGGTATGGGTATATGCACCTTAGTGCAGTGCCCTCGGGGGCCAGAAGAGGGTGTTGGTTTCCCTGGAGCTGAAGTTAGAGGAAGTGAGACATCTGATGTGCTGGAAGCCAGCCTTGGGTCCTTTGCAAGATCAGCCACTTTCTTAACTGCTGAGTCATCTCTCCAGCCCCACAATGTAGTCTTGACTCCCTAGAAGAACAGAGTATCCAGGAAGAGAGAGTGCTTGTGCGTGCGTGCTTGTATGTGTGTGTGTGTGTGTGTGTGTGTGTGTGTGTGTGTGTGTGTGTATACAGGAAGATAAGAATCATCAGAAAGGGCTGTAAAACAAAACTTAAAGGGGTACTCAGGTATAAAGCATGAGCTATGAAGCCAGTACATGTCTTGTGTGGGAGAAAAGAGAATTTCTCTCCTAGAACCCCACTAATTACCTTAAGGTCAGAGACAATAACTTTCAGAGTCTGGACGGGGCTGCAAGTGGTACCAACAGTGCCTGACTATAGGAGATGGAGACAGATGGTTCCTTCTTCCATGCATTGCACCCGACCCCATCTATGGGAGGGAGAGGAGGGGAGAGAGGGAGGGAGAAAGATACAGGCAGCTGAGTAGATGCAAGAGCAGACTACCTTCCAAAACATACACTTTTGGAACTTGACAAATAATGGCTAGAAGGATCTAAGGGCTGGAGACCACGGCCTTGGAGTAATGTCACTCAGTCCTGAAGTAGAAACAGGGAGAGGGAGGCAGGGCTCTGCTAGCCTGAGGTGCATCTGCAGGGAAACTGAAGCCACGGGGTTCCCTCCCACTTCCGGCCTGCAACGTATTTTTGAATATGTGTGGTGTAGTTAAATGTCCCGTTCTTCCCACTTCCGGCCTGCAGCATATTTTTGGATGTTCGTGGTGTAGTTAAATGTCCCGTTCTTACAAAGATTGGAGCCTTGAAGCCTGTCTTTCTTCTCAGCTGGACCTTAGCCTGGGGTGACCATCACTCAGGGATCTCATGCCTTAGGAGCCTGAGTTAGGGCTTTCATGTTCAAAGGACACATCCATTGAAGACTTGGGATGTGGACTTGCTCTGATCTTCATAGCCTTCAGTTCTCACAGCCAAAGCAGGCTCCCTTAAAAGGGTGACTGGATTCTCTTCCTCTCTCCCCACCCCCATGCTGTCAACTGTTCAAGGGCAGAGGGAGCTTACCCAGCTGGGCGATGGAGGAGCCATGGCCACACCAGCAGCTTAGGACTCTTGGACTCTTGGGATTGTCTTTCCAATAGGCAATCCCTCCCAAGACACCATTTCCTTATGAAAAACACCAGCCAAACATTCCATCTAGACCTTGGGGGTTGGGCCTGTGGTTAAGAAATTGGTTTTGAAATCTGTTTTATTCCAACATAATCTTAAATTCCAAATTTGCACAGATTTAGAGAGTGCAAATCCTTTCTTTTCAGTGAGAGAATAATCAGGGGTCCACCGTTGCATGAGCTGAAGACAGATGACCGGGAGGAGGGGTAGAAGGATCTGTGGGTTTGAGGTCAGCCTGATGTACACAGTGAGTTCCAGGCCAGCCAAGTCTACACAGTGAGATTCTATCTCAAAAAAACAAAAACCAAAACCTGAACCCCCCCTCATAAAAATCGAACCAAACCAAACCAAAACCCCAAAAAACCAACCAACCAAACAGAAAAACAAATCAGAAGGAAACCAGTATATCAATCTATGAATATATATATTTTTTGGTGTGTGTGTGTGTGTGTGTGTGTGTGTGTGTGTGTGTGTGTGTGTATGCATGCCTGCACAAAACTCTCAGGAATAGTCCATCGAACTCTGCTTTTGGCCATGCGATAAGGAAAACAGGTTTTTCATGGTAAAGTTCATTTAACATATTTAAGATTGTCCCACAGTTTTCTCTCATGTCTTGATCATTTAACTTTCACCACAGGAAGAGATTCTTCAGGAAGCTGCAGGGCTTTCACATGGGGTCCGGGGAAGCAAAATGGGCAACCTGAGGCTCAGAGCCTGGAGTCGATCCCTGTCAATCACTGCCAACCCACAAACTCACAAAGAACGATGGACGCCGTCAAAAAACACCAAGATTCAGGCATTGTTTGTTCCATGATGTGATCATTTTTGTTGTCAACTTGGCACAGTCTACAATCACCTGGGAAGAGAGTTTCAGGGATTGTCCAGAGCAGGGTGGCCTGTGGGAAGTCTGGGGTGTTGTTGGGATCCTTAATTGATGAGGCAAGACCCAGTGGGTGGCACTGTTCTGAATTTGGATCCCGAATTATATAAATGTAGAGTGAGTCCAGCCGTGACAAGCATGCATGCATGCATGCATGCATTCATTCTCTCTGCTCTTGACTGTCTGGTCAGCTGCTCAGCTCCTGCATCCTTGACTTCCTCACAATGATGGGTTATAACTTGAGATCATAGGCAAGATAAACCTTCCTCCCTCAGCCTGATTTCCATCCAGGTGTTTTATTCTGTTGTTTGTTGTTTGTTTGTTTGTTCATTTTGCTTTGTTTTAATCACAGAGGCAGAAATAAAATGAGGACACACAAACACTGCCCGAAGCAGTCTCGCCACACACGGGGCCTCTTCCAACAGTAGCCCTAATGTTCCTGGTTCCATGAGCTTCAGATGAAACAGTAAGGATGTTCTAAAGAACAGCATGGACAGACTGCCTACCATCTGTGGACTCTATCGTCATCGTGGGCCCCTTTCTGTGACTGTTGAGTGTGAGTCGAGGTAGGTTCCAGGTTTATCTGCAGTCATGGTTGCTTGAAGCTTGCATTCACACAGCATCTATGTCAGCTGGCCTCAGAAAACAATCACTCTCTGAGCTCTCAAATCTTTAACTCAAATTTCTCTTCATACATCAGGTGAAGATGTGTGAATTGCAGGTGCTAAAACTAATTACTGCATCACTGGATCTGAGATCTGTGTGGTTGGGGATACACCACCACCGCCATCACTGCCATCACTGCCATCACCGCCATCACCATCGTCTCAGCTGAACACTAAAGAGCTGCTTTTCTCAAGAATGTCGGTGAGAGCTGTAATAGGCTTCCAAATGAAAAAGTCAAGTTCTGAGAATTAGGTCATCCAAAATGGAACTCAGAACCCACACTCTAAAAATAGACTGTTATAGAAAGGAGCTCTCTAGATGGCGTGTTTGAGGTGAAAAGCTGGAACTAAGGCCCTTGCATACGGTCAGTCCCTCAGATGTCCCACAGTCACTTGAATCCTGATGGTGAGCCCAGTGTGTCACCCCAGCTGGGCGGTGGCACCTGGATATTTGGTCAAACATTATGCTGGCTGTTGGATCCAGAGTCACGAAATAATGGGGGACAGACCACCAAAGTCTATTAAATCAGAAGCAGACTTTATTCCAGAAAAAAAAGAAAAAAATATTACCGAGGGGCACAAAAGCTTATCAGCTACTGAGACCACAGCCAGAGTTGGATTTTGAGGCTGTGGCCATGGAGGCGGGTTCTGGTCCCCTTTTTATAGTAAGGGGGAAAGCATTAGGCATGGAGTGCATGCTAGAAGTCACGTAGAAACATCTATTAAAAAGTTAACTTTGGTCCGGGCAGTCGTTGGCTTATGGGGCAAGGGGTTAAAAGTTAACCCCTGGCTGTTGACAGAGGAACCGGCTGTAAAGCAGACAGCCATTGTTAGACATTAACCTTTAAGCTGATGATTGTCGACTTTCCCCCCCTTAGGTTTATAATTTTATATGTCTATATTCCTGGACCCTTCACTGGCTAGTTCTGAGCAGGATGTTTGGGGACCGTTAATAGTTAAAACTGTGGACTGTGAGCACAGCAGGGTACCGTTCATGTGGGGGGGGGGGGCTCATCAGTCAAGGGCTCGGGCCTGAAAGAGGACGGAATCCCACCAGCAAACCGCCATGCGCTTGAACTGTAACCCTCTCTGCTCTCTGCCTGTCGGCAAACCTAGTTGGCACTGGTTTTGCCAGCCCTCCAAAATCATGTTGTCAGCTTCTTAAATTCACTCCTCCTCCTGTCCTGCCGCTTCTTTCATTTCCCCCTCTCTCCCTGCACACACATACACACATACACACACACACATACACACACATACACATATACACACATATACACATATATGCACACACACATACACATACACACACACATACACGTATACACACATACACGCATATACACACACATATACATACACACACATAGGCACACACACATACACATATACACACACATACACACACATATATACATACATACACATATATACACACATATAACATACACATACACACACATACACCACACACACATATATACACACACCTACATATACATAACATACACATAAACACACATACACCACACACATACATACAGACACACATCCACACACACCTTTGTTCCATTGGTCCTGTTTCTCTGGAGACTCTTGACTGAGAGCCATGGTAAGTGAACACATTTCTTTCCTCATCACTGTGACCAAAGGCCTGAAACAGCTTAAGGGACATGGAAGGCAGGGGTGTGAAGCTGCTTGCTCACGGCTCTGTGGAGCCGCCCAGCAGGGGCCTGATGGGTTGTGCTGCTCTTTGCTACATCAGGAGCCATTAGGAGCAACTGATGGTTACAAACCCCAGGCCAGCAGGGTGAGAACAAAATGACTCATGTAGAAATGGCTGTACGGTTCAACAGAGCAGAGGACAGCCCACTGAGGGTGCTCCAAGTGGAAATAACCTCAGAAGGACAGCAAGAAGAGTGTGTCTGTGTGTGCGGACCTCAAGTGTCACTCGGCAGGGGACAGAGAAGTAGGTTCTCTAAGCCAGACTTGGCATCATAGCAGGAAAGTTGAGCCTGAGCTGGAGGAATGACAATCACCACAAGAGCCTTATGGGGACATTATCTCAGTTTACACTGTGGGAAGGTGTCTGCCGCTCACAGCACACACAGATGACTCAAAGACAGACAAAGGAACCGTCAAGCGAGTTCCTCTCGGGAGTGAGCGATCCACACGGAGTCACACATCTGCCCAGCTTCCGAGGGATGGGAGCCTCCTGGGGGACATGGGCCGTCTGCTCCCTCTGCCTGGCTTACAGCTCTAACAGCTGTTGTCCCTCCTTCTTGTCTCATTAGTGGCCACAACCCACTTTGGATGGTAGGCACTTTCCACCCACCTGGACGGGATGGCGGGTGCGGCTGCCTCACGTCTGACAAGGCTTGAAGGCAGCCAACCTTCTCCTGCTATCAAAGAAAGGAGAGCCAGCGCGTGGGCCGCTAAATATTTGAGCTGTGGTGTGGGTTTGAACAAGAATGGCCCCCATAGGCTCATATATTTGAAAGCTTAGTCACCAGGGAGTGGAACTCTTTGATAGAATTAGAAAGATTAGGAGGTGTGGCCTTGATGGAGGAAGTGTGTCACGAGGGGTGGGCTTTGAGGTTTTCAAAAGTCCACACCAGGCCCAGTACTTCTCCCTCACATCCCCCTCCCCCATGTAGCTCTCAGCTCCTGCTCCAGCCCCAGGCACGCTGCCGTACTTCCTACCATGATGACGATGGACTGAACCTCTGAAACTGTAAGCCAGCCCCAATTAAATGGTTTCTCTGATACTTGTTACCTTGGTGTCTCTTCATAGCAATAGAACAGTGAACCAAAGCTAACTGTGAAAGAGCAGAAAACAGAAACAGAAAGAAAGGGAGAGATCGATGCAGACCTGAAGACAGACTGTGCCGTGGAAGCAGGGGTGTGGGCTGGGACATAGAGAGGTGCCATCTGGGTGCCTGGTGGGGAAACGAGACACTCAGTTTGTGGTGGTGGCTGGTGATGTTCTCTTCATTAGAGATAGCACAGACTTAGTCTGAGGGTCTCTCAGATTAACAGTCACACCAGACCAGAAGACGTCTAGACCAGAAGACATTCTGCAGTCTGAATGGGATGACCGTGGCAGCAGAGGCAGAAACAACACCTGCTCCCAACTCAGCATGCGCAGGCTTGGCTGATGGGTACAACCAGGTGGGCAACAGCCATGAACCCATGGTGACTTCATCTCCACCGAGTCACCTTCAACCTGTGAGTCACGATAACCCAGGGAGAGTCCTGCCATAGAGCTCTGTCACTGTACCAGGACGTCTGCAGAAGGCTACTGAAAGGAGAGGCATTTTCGCTCACAGTCCAGTGGACTCAGATCACAGTCACTCGGTTCCATTACTTTGAGCCTGACGGCAAGTGGGGTATTGCTGTGGGATGGTCTGTATGTCAAATGTGTTGCTGATTGGTCAATAAATAAATCACTGATTGGCCCGTGGCCAGGCAGGAAGTATAGGCGGGACAAGGAGGAGAATAGAGCTGGGAAGTGGAAGGCTGAGAGAGAGAGACACTGCCAGCCGCCATCAGGACAAGGAAGATGTAAAGTACCGGTAAGCCACAAGCCACGTGGCAAGGTATAGATTAATAGAAATGGATTAATTTAAGCTGTAAGAACAGTTAGCAAGAAGCCTGCCACAGCCATACAGTTTGAAACCAATATAAGTCTCTGTGTTTACTTGATCGGGTTTGAGCGGCTTGGGACTGGCAGGTGAGAGAGATTTGTCCTGACTGTGGGCCAGGCAAGAAAACTCAAGCTACAGGGTATCATGATGGAGACAGTGTGGGGGATTGAAGCTGCTCCCCATGGTGACTGGGAAGGAGAGAGAGAGAGAGAGAGAGAGAGAGAGAGAGAGAGAGAGAGAGAGAGAGAGAGAGAGAGAATAAGCACTCATCATATGGGGCACAAGACACAGTCCCTAGAAACACACCTCAGTGTTCAAAGGACTTGACACTTCCTCTAGGCCCCAGCTCCTAAGTTCCCTCCCACCCCCTCCCAACCGTCCTCTGAACCATGCACATCAATGGAGTCATCCACTGCTGAGGCCAAAGCCCTTATGGCAACCATTGCCGACAGTTACCAGCCAACACTGACCTCTTAACACATGGTCCTTGGGGCCATTTAGCTCCATCTGCCGGGAGCTGTTCCTGGAGACAGCCCCACCCTGTGCAGGCTTTACTTGGCTACCTCCCTGACTGATACTCTATGTATCAGTTTCTTTTCTCATCACCATGACAGAACCTTTTGCTGTGGGATGTTCTGTATGTCAAATGTGTTGCTGATTAGTCAATAATTAAAACACTGATTGGCCATTGGCTAGGCAGGAAGTGTAGGCGGGACAAGGAGGAGAATAAAGCTGGGAAGTGGAAGGCTGAGTGAGAGAGACACTGCCAGCCGCCACGATGAGAAACAGCATGTGAAGATGCCGGTAAGCCACGAGCCATGTACCAAGGTATAGATTTATGGAAATGGATTAATTTAAGCAGTAAGAACAGTTAGCAAGAAGCCTGCCACGGCCATACAGTTTGAAACCAATATAAGTCTCTGTGTTTACTTGGTCGGGTTTGAGAGGCTGTGGGACTGGCAGGTGAGAGAGATTTGCCCTGACTGTGGGCCAGGCAGGAAAACTCTACCTACAAATGGTGTCCAACGTGGTGGCAAGAGTTTCCACCTAAAACCTGAGAAAAAAGATTCTAAAAAGGAGCTAAAAACAGTTCCTAATTGTCTCTCTCAAATGAGCGGCAGCTGCTGGTTTGAGCTACTGGTGGGTTCCTGGAGTGTGCGCTCAACCTGCAGTATGGCGGGAATAAGACCTCTGCAAGTGGCACATTAAGCTGCATGGTGGATTTAGCCTTTGCAGGTACAAAACAAAAAAAGAGGTTTCTGGACTACACGCTCTTTGGATAAAAGCATAGACCCACATAGCTCCCAGAGCTGGTGGTAAATGTAGCCATGTTGGGAAGCTGAGGTGGGCGGAGCCAGCTGCCACAGCTGCTGCAGTTTAAAGCAACAGATTCACAATAAGACAGATTCAGATGTAATAGTTTACAGTGTGTGTAAAATATACGTAGGCTTGAAAGAGACAAAAAAGGTGATATATAAAGTTATATAAACAAATACATAGTTTTAAAAATAAAGTCTTTAAAGAGACAGTAATATTAATATAAAAAATAAGCCACGTAAAGATGAATATTACACAGAGAATCTGGATTGTGTTGTCTTTGGGACTTTTAACTGCAGAAAAACATTTGATTGTAAAAGCTGTTGAGTTATGTCAAAATGTATACTTTAAAGGTACCTTGACTTCAAAATTTGGATATAAGGATATGTTGCTTTGGAAAAGAGTCTCTTTTGTTTCCACAGAAAGCCAGAGGCTATGGATTTGTTCAAGATTAAGATACATCAGGTTTGACCAGCCAAGACCCCCTGAAAGGTCTCCTATGACACCATGGCCCAGATGATCCAACATCCAGAATGGTTTCAAGGCAACTGGCTCAGACGATACAGCCTCATGGACTATTCCATAATCCTAAAATTTTCTTTGTTTCCCCATAAGATACAGCGTCCCCCTCCAGCAGGAAGTAGTAAGAGAAACTATGCCCAAATTCCCAAATTATATGTAATTTTACTTTGTTAAGGTTAAAACCTTCCTTTTTGAAAAAAAAAAGGGGGGGGAAGTGCTGTGGGATGTTCTGTATGTCAAATGTGTTGCTGATTAGTCAATAATTAAAACACTGATTGGCCATTGGCTAGGCAGGAAGTGTAGGCGGGACAAGGAGGAGAATAAAGCTGGGAAGTGGAAGGCTGAGTGAGAGAGACACTGTCAGCCGCCACGATGAGAAACAGCATGTGAAGATGCCGGTAAGCCACGAGCCATGTACCAAGGTATAGATTTATGGAAATGGATTAATTTAAGCAGTAAGAACAGTTAGCAAGAAGCCTGCCACGGCCATACAGTTTGAAACCAATATAAGTCTCTGTGTTTACTTGGTCGGGTTTGAGAGGCTGTGGGACTGGCAGGTGAGAGAGATTTGCCCTGACTGTGGGCCAGGCAGGAAAACTCTACCTACAACCTTTGACGAAGGCGTTGGAAGGGAGGAAGGAAGGGAGAGGGGGAGAGTGTTTGGGGCTCACATTTTGAGAGTGTAGTCCATCAAGGATGAGGAAGTCACAGAGGCAGGAGTGTGAGGGAACTGGGTCACACGGTTTTATTGGCTTCCATGTCCTGGGCCACTATCCTTCACTAAAGGAGGTCAGAGCAGGAACTGAAGCAAAGGCCATGGAGAGATGCTGCTTACTGCCATGCTCTCTAGGCTTGCTCAGCCTGATTTCTCATACAGCCCAGGACCACCTGTATCATCCACAGAGGTCTGGGCCCTCCCACATCAATCATTAGTAAAAAAGCAAATGCCAGAGACCTGCCTACAGAGGAGCCTTATGGGGACATCATCGCAGTTGAGGGTCTCCCTTCCCAGATGACCCCAGCTTATATCAAGTTGACAAAAATCTATCAAGACACGTGGCTCTCATGCCCAATCAGGATGTAAAGAGAGATAAGAGGGGGTGCTCAGCTCAATCTCTCTTCCTTCCCTGTGATTCAGATCCCAGCCTGTGGCATGGTGCCATCCACATTTAAGGTGTCTCATTGCTCCTCAGTTAACCTAATCTAGAAACACCCTCACAGACAAAGCTTTGTCTCTTTTCTGAGTCTAGATTCTGCTAAGTTGATAGTCAGTATTGGCCATTACATTTTGCTTAAGTTTCTCTGTGACAGACATCACCCCTAGCACCATTCTATGGTTGCATGGCTTTGTTTCTCTCTCCCCTTCCAGTGGTTCTCAACCTCCCTAATGCTTCCACCCTTTAATACAGTTCCTCACATGATGATCCCCAACCATCACATGATTTCATTGCTACCTCATAACTCATTTTGCTACTGTTATGAATTGTAATGTAAATGGCTGATATTTTTTATGGTCTTGCCCATCCCTATGAAAGGGTCATTCAACCCCCAAGGAGTTCACAACCCACAGTTTGAGAACCACTGCTCTAGGATGTAGCAGATTTGTATCTTACCCCTTCCTGTCACGTGCAGACACTCAGGTAAGCAGTGCATGAGTGGGCTATCCAAACAAACATCACCCCACCAGAAATATCTGAAGAGATTTTATTTCAAGCAGGCAAGACATCATCCCAGACCAGCGTTTAGTTTCTCTGAGAACCAGGGTGTCCAACTGAAGCATTATGCTACTAAAAAAGAAAAAAGAAATGGTCTGGAGCCTGACTCATATGCTGGACTGCCCCGCCGATTGATTTCTGAGCCATTAATTAGTCTCTGGGCAGCTGAGCCCCAGAGCATCATCATTCTGGCCCGTCACTGCCGCACAAGCAAGAAGTCGGGCCTGGCCCTCATGTTTCTGCTCTTGGCTTCACTGTTTCCCCTCTTTGATTTAAACAGGATTTGGTTCCTTTCTCAGGCTTAGAGAAGTACAGGAATACTGCTAAATAAACTCCATGTAAGGTGCAGGCAGGAAAACTGAGGCTTGGCTGGTGAGGCACTCAGCGGGGAGGTGCCTGTCCCCAAGCCTGAGGACCCGAGTTTGATCCCCGGGACTCACATGGTGGGAGGAGAGGACCAACTCCCATAAGTTGTCCTCTGCTTTCCACATATACCCCGTATCACAAATGTTCTCATGTGCATGTGTGCACTCACATGCATGTGCACACACTGACATGCACAATAATAATGTAATTTAAAAAATTTTTTAAGTGAATTACTTCCTCACCTCAGAGGCTCTGGCTTTCCTCGTCAGCTACATCTCTGGCATCTCCCACGGCAGTTTTCTTTCCCTCACTGGACTGGAACAATCACACTTTCATGTTGTTGAGTAGCTTTACCCTTCTGTTAACACACCTACTCAGCCTTGCGCTCCACTTCTCTTCCCACATTGTTCTTAGTAATCTATAGTTCTTTATATCCCAGACACGAGGCCTCTGTCGGAACTTCCAGATACTTTCTTACACCCTGCAGTTTGTTTTCATTCTCTTTTTTAATGACCAAACTCATACATTAAAAATAAAAAAGAGAGAGATTTATTTTATTACTTACTTATATGAGTGCAGTTCCTGCAGAGGCCGGAAGAGGGAGCTGATCCTCTAGAGCTGGAGTTACACATGCTCGTGAGGCACCACGTGGTTGCTGGGAACTGAACCCACAGTCACTGCATCTAACCACTGAGCCATCTCTCTACCACCACAGTTCATAATTTTGAGTATTATTTTTAGAATTTCTTCCTTTATGGTCAGTCCACGGTTTTGTTTCTTGTTTAACTTAAGATCATAAATATATTTTCCTACTTTATTTAAAAAATAATTTGTTTGGCCTTCATGCTTATGTTTAAAACTTACCTAGAATCTCTCTAGCCCCTCTTCTGATCCTAATTGAAATTAAAATTGGAACTTTTGTTTTTGTTTTTTGTTTTGTGAAACAGGGTCTCACTATAGCTCTGGCTGTCCTGGGACTCACTATGCAGAGCAGGCTGGCTTCAAACTCTCAGAGATCTGCCTGCTTCTGCTTGCCTTCTAAGTGCTGGCATTAAAGGTGTGTGCCACCATGTCCAGCTTAAAAAAAAAATGTGTATTCCAGGATGGTCTGGAATTCCTGGTCCTACTGCCTCTTCAGCATAGCCTGTGGCCGGCATGAACACGGTCATAGGACCTCGAAAGTGTCATGAATCCAGACGGTGTGCCTGATGGCCCTGCCACTGAGCCCTCCTCTGGTGACATTACTCCCTCCATCACAAGTGATGACATTCGCCATCTCCCAGCCTGGTGGCCCATTTCTCTAGCTGCTGGCATATGTAAGGCTTGCCCTGGATCTCTCTGAGGGCTGGAGCTGTCTCCACCCACTGAGAGAGGGCTCAGTGGTTAAGAGCATGGCTGCTCCTGCAGAGGACCTGCGTTTGGTTCTCAGCACCCACATGGAGGCTCACAATGTTCTATAACTTCAGTTCCAGAGGACTTGACGCCCTCTCTGGCCTCTGTAGGCACTGCACACATATGGTGCACATATGTGCATACACTCAGGCAAAGCATTCATTCAGATAAAATTAAAAACAAACACCTAACTTTCCTAGCACCTTGCCCCAGCCCCAGGACCTTACCCGTGAACTTCTGGACCCTAGGTGAGGGAGCGTCTTTGAGGATGTGCCTTTGTTTGTTTTGTTGGCTGTCATATTCTGCCTGTTTGCCTTCTCAACCCTGATAGTGCTTCCTGGGAGCCCACCCCCACCTCCAAATAAACCATTCACATCCAGACCCTTCTCTCTGGGTCTGTTGCTGGGACAGCCCACACTGAAGCTCACTTGCTCACTTGTATCCAGAGTTGAGGAAAGAAAGCCTTACAGTAACCAGCCTTCTGCCCCAAGGCATGGTGTCTCCAGTCCGAATAGGGAGAAGACTAAAGGCCAGGTTTTCTTTCTGTATGTGTGTGCACATGTACGTGGAGGCCAGAGGACAGTCTCAGGGTCATCTTAGGAACACTAGCCACCATCTTTGAATGGGCCTGGAGTGCACCACTGTGAGCTTCGGGGGCCCTCCTGTCTCTGCCCCCCAGCACTGGGATTACAAGCGTGCGCCATCACACCTGCGTTTTTGCCTGGGTTCTGGGGACTGAACTCTGGTCCTTACACTTGCAAGTCAAGTGCTTTCTCTCCTGAGCCACACCCACCCCAGCCCAAGACCATGATTCTCTAATGGAGATGCCTTGTTTCATATGGATTCTTGGCTTTGAATATTCCATGCATACTGTTCTGAGAATGTTGTTTCAGAGACTTCCCTGGTCATCAGATGTGTTCAACCTGAGCATCTTCTCATTTGGATTCCACATGAGGCCTTGAGCACAGGGTCTGGGATGATGGACTATTTCATCCCATCAAAGTTGTTCCTCCTGGTGGTTCGGCGCAGAGGAGCCTCTTGATTTATCTGGACCGGCAGCAACAGGGCAGAGCTGTGAGCATGAAAAGGCTGTGGGAAGACTGACGTCTACCCATCACCTGACCGGTGTGCTCATTTGCTTTAATATGGTGACCTGGCTGTGGGGGCAGAGGGCTCCTGCCGGCCCCTCAGGATGAAAATGTAAAGGAATGGGTAT